TTGGTTATATTAGACTTGAGTTTTTTACTCATAATCTTCCTTGATGTTGTTTTTAGAACGCCAAGAATTGTCTTTCTTGCTGCAGAGTAGAAACACTTAATGATGAAGAGGCTCAAGGTCTCTTACCTGGTGTGTTATTACCATTTAACACAGCTTTCTTTATGCCCCAAGCTCTAAATATCAATCCTCAACACTACCTTGAGGTTTGCATGACTAGTTTTAAAATTTCTGCTGTGTAAATTCTTTCTTTTCCGTTTTCTTTTGTCAGGTTACCACTTACTTTCATTCATTCTGATAATACTATTAGGCACTTTTTCGAGCATGTGAGAATTTAGTGAAAGAGTCATCCTCTGGGGAGAAACAGCTCAGTTTACACAAAAAATCTGTTCATGGACTTTCTGAGTTTGAAGGTAATAATGCTTTGCAATTCTTTTAGGTTTTCGTTCTTTTATTCACCGTGTTGTTCTCTTGAGTGTAAACTGTAAACATGATATCTACTTTTGATTTTTCCTCTAAATTAGGTGGATGCAACAATTTTAATTTGGTATTTTAATGCTATAACAAATGAGTAGGGCGGATTGGGTAGTTAATCTCATAGAGTATTGCGTAGCACTGACCCCCCTAAAATACTATAGCGGATCACGATCTATGTACAAAATAAACATAAATACTCAAAAACAGATAAATACACAAAATTTAAGAGACCATCATACTTAATAGTTAAAGAACCTTATAGAGCAATAAAACTTATGCAATGAAGAAGAACATAACAAAACAGAGCTAAAAGTAGGATGGAGAACCCAACGATTGTTTGATAGCAAGAAAATAACAGGATGAAGAATAGAATATTAACTTTAAAAGGGTAGGTTGGGACATGGGATTGAAATTTATGCCCTTAAAAAAAAAGAGAACAATTTTAATAAAAGAGCTTGGGGAATTTACCCTTGAAACCCTGATAGAAGACATGATAGCACGTGCATTAGCAGCTGCAACAACCGCGCTGACGGCAGATCACAGGCCAAAAGCTTCACGCCGAACCCTACTATCGCTATATTCTGCTATAATGCATTAGTGACTATATAGGTTCGAGCTAAAGTTAAAAGGAGTTTAAGGAGATAATATTAACCTAGCAACATTTTTTTTTGCCTACCTAAAAAACAAATCTATAAAGAATAGTAATTATATTAGATGGCATTGGATAGAGAAGTTCACCTCTGGTGGTTTTCTTGGAGCCAATCAACCAGAATGATAAATTCATCACTTTTGACTAGAAATTGATTGAGAATGAAAAGAAGCATGATCGAAAATTGAACGCAATTTGCAAAGAGTAAAAAAAGACTATTTTATGGGAAACAAGGGAACAATCATGTTATAGTGAGGACTGTCCTTACAAGTTGATTTTGTAAGGATGAGCTAGCCCCAACCACAATTTTAAGATGGTTTCATAGCCTTGTTTAAGATCCGTTGGGGTCATCTGCTATTAGGTTAATGCTATCACACGATCTATCATTTATATCCACATAGTAGCTATGTTGAAGGAAGAGCTTCGTCATTCAGCCAAGCAGTCAAGATTCAACAGAGGAGAAGAAGATAGAGAGTAAAGACGAGAGGAATTATTTTGTGGAGGGCAGTAACCGCATGAATATGAATCATTTCCTAGAGGGCTGTAGCTGCATGGATAGACTATCTGTATGAAGCCAGCATCAACGGTAAGTGGGTCTTCACTAAGGATGACAAAGCTTTCTGATCCGGAACTGCTGTGCGGGTGTTACTAACTAGGTGGTTGCTGCCACGTCAGTGGAATTGCAGGACCTCTGGGTGTTAAAATCAAATTGAGAGGAGTGGTATTGTGTAGGCTGCTTCCACAATTAAACTGTCACACTTGCTTCTGTTTACGGAGAGGGCACTCAGCAATTATCAAGGAGACAGTGGCTATTAATGGAGCTGATTGATATGATATTGTTAACAAAGAAAAATGATTCAATCACGCAGATCCAAAATAACCACATTGTTTATGACCCCACAAAATAAAGGGAAGCAGCGAGGGTCATGAAGTTTATCTCATTAATAGTTAGTCAGGTAGTGTTGGATAGGTCTTCGAGTTACAATCATGAAAAGGGTGAACAAGAATTATGTAGGAAAGAGAGAAAGTGAGAGGGTGTTGAGAATGAATGATCACATGATTCATCATACTAGTCCTAGCAATGTTGATCTAAAATCAGGCTTTTCCTCTTATGATTGTCACTCGGATTGGCAAGCTAGAAATAACAGCATCGCCCTCCAAATTGTAACAATCTCGGGAGAATTAGTTGGAGTGAAATAGGACTTATCATTCAATTGGTGTACTCACTTTTGATTCCAATAAATACTATACCCTCAATCCGATTCGATAGTGATGATACTTCTTCCCTATAGTGGTGGATCCAGGACCCTGAGTGAGAGAGCAAAAAAAAAACGTTCAAGGCCTCTTGGGCTAGTAGTGTAATTTTTTTTTCAAGAGGAATCAAAATGTAAAATATTTGGGGTATATGCGCATTTTTTTATGTTCAGGAGATTCAATTGAAACCCCTCAAATTGTCTATAGATCCGCCTCTGCTTCTCACCATTTGAGCTTCTTTTTGTCATCTCGTAACAGTTCTTCCATTCTCTGAAAGAGGGCAAGATTGGAAATGCATTATTTGGTCAGTGATTTGATCTAACTGGCATATCCCAATTGACTGAAGAAAGATGACGGGTCTTAAACAAAGGAAGACTCTTTGGCTAGTATTAAGCCATGTCCAGTAGGTTGGACTAAACGGTGTCTTACAAAGTTACAATCCAACCAGACTTCCACCACCTCTTGATGTTGCAAATTATATCCTGTTTCAAGCAAAATGATCCTGGTGGGAGTTTAATATTTTTCTGGTTTGCTTTCAGGACTAGGGAAATGGTGAGTTGATTAGATTATTAGTTTAGAGAAATAAGGCATATTGCCAATAATTAGGAATAGGGGTTCTATGGGAGACTAGCAATTAGTGAGGTTATAATTGGGGAGGCTCCTTGATTATCGTATATCTGGAGATTTATACATTCAGTCAATAAAGAAATTTCTTTTCTGATTCAGTTTCTATAAACACATTAGTTAGAATACTTCTCAAATATCTAAATTGGCTAAATGAAGGCTCTCATGGTTCAACATTTTTTTTATAGGACTCGGAACACATATAAGGAAAACAGTTTTTTACGGGCCTTTCATTTTTCATACTAGTGACTCTGAAATATTTTTCTTAGTTTTTCTACATCTTTTTCTTAGTCATGATCGTACATTTTGGAAGAGCTTTACATTCTCAAGTCTGATTAAATATGTTTCATGTCTCAGGGGAATATGATGCAGTCATCATATGCCTTGGTGCAAAAGCGAACACCCTTCCTGAGATTTCTGGGAGGCTTCCTTTGAGAACATGCAGGGGTGTAGTTTTGCATCTGGAACCGCCTGATATTACGAGGTAAAGTTAAATGTTTAGCGTGCTTTCAATCTGAAAAAATATTTAGTTTGACACAATTGGCGTCTCATGAAACAACTATTAGGCCGTATTACTTCAAGAGTATTGTTTTCTTGGAAGGAATCTTTATTGAATACAACATGCTAGAGATTGCTCGAAAGTTAATATTCCATTTGAGAATTATCTGGCCTTGTCTTCCAGTTGTTATCCTGAGCACGGACCTTCCATATTATCAGATGCATGGATAGCCGTTGAGAGCTCTCGGAGTCTAAATGTGGGCTCAACTTGGGAGTGGAAATCTATAAATTCATCACCAGATGTTTCAATTGACGAAGCTTCAAAAGCTCTTCACGAGCTCCTGCCGAAGGCATCTACTATTTATCCTGGAATAAAGGATTGGGTTTTCACTGGAGCAAAAGCTGGTCTGAGGGCAATGCCTCCACTCACTCCCCTTGGATCGCTTCCACTTTTGGGTTGTATTAATGATATCATAGGCCATAATCATAGTTGTAAGTATTGGTTATTTGGAGGGTTAGGTTCAAGAGGATTGTTATACCATGGTTGGCTAGGTAATTTGATGTCGCATGCCGTGCTTTCCTGTAATGAAGGAGTAATTCCATCTGAGTTGACTTCTTGGAAAAACATTAACCCCAAATTTTAGCATTCAACTGTCACTTGGGAAATTATAGCTTGCTTGAGTATTGAAAATATATTTTCCTCGCCGCCTTTCAATCAGGGCTCCATTCAACATATGTTGTTTTCTTTGAAAGAAACATGCTTGTTTGTATTTGACCCATGTCATGTAATATAAACAGTCACAGTCTGAACTTTAATGTATTTGTAACAGTGAAAAATTGAAGTAACTATTAGCTGGACTAATAATATTGTGGGGAAATAATGCAGTAGTTAGTTGCTAAGAGATTGTTGAGGGATGAGCATGTGAATTTGGACATAAGAATTCGAAAGACATGAGGAAACCGGTCAAGTAATTCAGATAAGCATATAATTAGTTCAATTTACACTGTTAAATGTTGTCAAAACTGTATAGTTGAATTAACCACAATTTTGACTGAATTAAAACAAATATACGTTCAACTGAATTAATCATATTTTTACACATAAGTAACCCGGTGTTGCACTGGTGTACATACCACAAAAACTGCATTTAAATTTCACTTCTTTATAGAGGTAAAACATAGTGTTTGAAAACTTTTCAATTTTATTTACAGCATTTCCTTTGCTTCTGCAATAACCATCTATGTTATTACAAAACCTAATCAACCTATACTAAGTGACGATGTGATATCACATCCTTGAAAAAACGGGATTGGGAGTATATAAGATCTATCATATTTTTACTCAAATTTCGGAAGAAGAACAGAAAATGTCGGACAACAAAAGAGAGGACAAATTAATTTTAAGCCAGAGGTATCTGACCACATCTTCATGAGCAGCCTAAGTTAGTTAGATGTTTTTACAAGTATGAATAGGCTCTTCTCTTCCATCGTTAAATGTTTTTTAGACTGTGTAGTGCTGCTGCATGGTTTCAACGTCAAGACCCTTCAACTTGACAACGGATTCAACGTGTCCCTTGAGTGTGTGTAGCTCTCTCAACCTGCAAAATTCAATAAACGCGGGTTTGATTCAAATTCACCACATGCTTTCTAACACTATCAAAATTGCTAGTTATTAGTACTTAGTTTTGGAGTTGTTTCTGTAATAGGTTATGGTATAGATGCATTATTTTGAAGCCAACTTGTCAAATCTCACCTAGCATTCTCAGCACGTCTCTTAGCTTGTTCAGCCATTTCAGAGTGCTCATTGTGGTGATTGTTCTTCGGGGCCTCATGGGATTGAAGGCCGTGCATTGTGCGTTGAGCCTGAGCCCATTGAGCCTCCCTCTCACCTTTCCCGTAGTCCTTTCTTGTTGTGAATGCAGTCTGCATCACCACACCAACAATATATGGTGACTAAAATAACGAAATCATATTTGTTGCTAGAGTGTATCAAGAAATCATAACGAAATCTCTCATCGGCTATTTCACAAACCACACCCTCTTGATATTTCTAAAATGTGGAGATTTATTACATATTCTTTTAAAATTGTGACATATGAGCATTCGCTATGTTCGTTAATAACAACATTAACGTTTTTTTAGTACTGCTCGTAAAATAAAGGCTACAGACATATCAATAAAATAATAAAGGAAAGCTTTGATCTTTATGTAACGATGGATATTTGTTTTAGACCTTGTTTTGGAGCATGTTGTCCCAGGCACTGCCTGTGAGTCCCATGCGGATAAGAAACTTGAGGATGTCAAGAGGAATGTATGTGACAATGCTGTAGATCCAGATAACTCCAGCCCATTCCCACCCTACTCCATTGATTCTAGCAAAGTCCCAGTGTGCATACACAGCAATGAGAGTTGCCACCTAGGTTGAGAGCATTTGAATGCCAAAGTTAAAACTAGAAGTGTGATGGAAACATTTTGGTTAAGAAAATAAAAGTATTTGATGGAACGAAATGTTAACTAACCATTTGTGCAGCAATGAAGGCTCCAAGAAGCATCAAACCAGGACGCTCGACAAATGACCAACTCCTTGACCTGGTAACAAAGATAAGTGCCTGACTAATGATACTCACTTGGAGGTAGAGAGCTGAGTTAAGATGTTCCTCGCTGTCTGAAATTGGGACGACACCGAAAGTTTCCTGAAAAGAAAACATGTTTATTAGTTTCGTTCAATTATGGCAGTTGTTTCCTTTAGTGTTGGGTTTGCATAAGCTACTTACTGTGAAGAAATTGGTGTCATGAACAATAAAGAAGAAAGCTGCAGTCATGAGGGCCATATATGTTCCAAGAACGACTCCGGTGGCAAAGATTTCCTTGAGCTTCCATGAGTCAGGAACAGGAGATGGCTTCACCCTGTCCTTGGAGATGGTCATAATGGTTCCGTCATTCAAAATGGCGATGATCAAAACCATGAAAGGAGAAAAGTCAAACTGCCAGATTAGAGCAACGAGCAAGAACCCAAGAACGATACGGATTGTGATGGAAACTGCATAGATTGTGTAGTTCTTCATCCTTTGGAAGATGGCCCTACTTGTCAACACAGCACTCACAATCACACTCAATCCTGGCTCGGTCAAGACAATGTCTGAGGCACTCCTTGCGGCATCAGTTGCATCAGCGACTGCAATACCAATATCTGCCTTCTTCAATGCTGGTGCATCGTTCACACCATCTCCGGTCATACCACAGATGTGCTTCCTATCCTGCAGCCTCTTGACAATCTCGTACTTGTGCTCTGCATGCCACATGTCAAAGGTTTTTGTTAGCCAATTTTCATGTTTTTTAAAAAAGGTTCGTGAATCGTGATCACAAATTAGGTCCCAACATAAAACTTTTGATGTCTTTGCAATGTCAATGACTGCAATTTAAAACTTCGCTAATTTTTCTGAGTTAGAGTGCTCATTATGGGTTTGAATTAATGTCATTACCAGGGAAGACTCCAGCAAATCCATCAGCCTTCTCAATGAGCTCATCAATTGGAATTGTTGCAATAGATGCATCCTTGCTTTGGCCAAGAAGGGAGGATGAAGGGTACATGTTGGTTCCCATTCCAAGTCTGCGACCGGTTTCAATTCCAATGGCAAGTTGGTCACCAGTGATCATCTTAACATTAACACCGAGGTCAAGGGCACGGCGAATAGTCTCCGCACTGTCATGTCTCGGAGGGTCAAAGAGGGGTAAGAGACCCAAGAATACCCATGGTTCTCCTGCACTCTCCTTGGTTTTTTCTGAAACAGTCTGCAAAAAACAAAGTAATCATGTGCATTTGTTGGAAAATTTATTAAGCATGCTTCTTAGAAATAAAACCACAGCCATTCATATTTAGACTCTTTACTCACCTGCAAACCAACAGCCAAGGAACGTAGCCCACGCTCCGCATACTCATCAATGGTTTTGTGTGCCTTTTTCAAAGTCTCTCCCTTAAGTTCACAGAGCTCAATAATCTGATACATATAAATAAGTAGTTAAATATCTTATGATATGTACTGTTATGTTATTATTTTTATATATTTCATTTTTAATTTGAATGCTGTATGATCCATTGGCTTACTTGCTCAGGAGCACCCTTGCTGCTTCTGTGCCAATCACCATTTTGGTCAATGAAGGTAATAGCTGTGCGCTTGTCCACGGGATTAAAGGGCAAGAAATGCACCTCAGTAATTCCCGCTCTCGCCTAACATGTCATAGTAATAAGCCGATTACAATGTTAAGCCATTTTGCAAACTCTACATTGATACAAACAATATTTCATACAAGAATGTAAATCATAATAAATAATAAATACCTCCTTGGGATCACCCAACATATTCACAATTGACGCATCAATGGCATCCTGGTTTTCGATTCTTGAAGCTCTTGCAGCATATAGGACAACACTATCCTTGTCCATATTAGCCGGGAAAACCTGCATTGATAAACAATTATGTAAGTTTTTATTTGTTTATATTATCTTTTTGATGCGAGTCACAAACCTCGATCAAGTTCTTGTCCACGCTAAGCTTGTTAAGAGTGAGAGTTCCAGTCTTGTCACTGCAGAGAACATCCATTCCTGCCATTTCTTCAATGGCTGTCATTCTCTTGGTGATTGCTCCTTGTTGAGAAAGGCGGTGAGATCCAATAGCCATGGTCACAGACAAGACAGTTGGCATGGCAATTGGGATACCTCCAATGAGAAGCACCAACAAGTTGTCAATACCATCTCTGTAAGCTCTATTCTGGATCGGGTACATCACAATGAGCTCAATAAACATTCCCACACCAATTGAGCAGATACAGAAGTTACCAATGGATGTCAACACCTGATGCAAAGCAATCAAATTATTATTCATATGCTGAACAACCAGTGAATCACCAAATAAGACATGACATTGACACATCGATAATAATTTGAGAAAATAGAATAACTGAATGTAATCGTATGTATCGATGTTATATACACTGGTCCGTGTCCGACACCGAACACACATTAAAAGATATCATCACATATATGTATGTACCTTTTGGAAGTGACCAACATTGTTGGTGCTGTCAACAAGGTGTGCAGCTTTACCAAAGAAGGTGTGTACACCAGTGGCAATGACAATACCCTCAATTTCACCTTGCTTGCAAGTTGAACCAGAGAAGACCTCATCCCCAGGGTTCCTTGTTACCGGCAAGGACTCACCAGTGAGGGCAGACTGGTCAATCTTTAAGGGGTCTCCTTCCAACAGACGGGCATCGGCTGGTACAATGTCACCCAACTTGATACTAATGATATCTCCTGGTACCAAAATTTCAGCCTCTTGCTCACTCCATTTTCCATCCCTCAAGATCTACAAAATAAAAATTGGGTGAGTTGTTGTGAGGTATTTGCGGCATTTTTTCGTCAATGAAAGCCATGATAAGCAAATCTTACCTTGGTTTTGGGGGCAAGACCAGCCATCAAAGCAGCTGCAGCATTTCCGGCATTGTTTTCCTCAATGAAACTAATGGTTGAGTTAATGACAAGCAACACCACAATACCAGTAAAATCTTGCCAATCCGGTGGCTTTCCCTGTTATGCATACAAGTAGTTGTCTGAGGACAAGATATTAAACTTCTATGAAGCATATACCATGCAGTGTCCGATACACATATATGATCCGTATGACACTCATTCAACACGTGTCAAACACACCTTATACATGTTTTAAATAGGTCTCACACACATTCAATTCAAGAGAGTTAAAACAATATTATAATCACATTAATTTTTTATTAGATTTTAACTTTTTAATTAATAGATGAATAAACAAAGGTCAACTCAGCATGTGAAATGTTAAATATGAAATGTTTGTGTTGTGTCTCGGTGTCCATGCTTTATAGTTAAACTTGAAAATGAAATGAAACATTTGTAAATAATGAATGACATGCATACCCCTCCATTGGCCAATACAATGGCCATGATAGCAGCTGCCTCCATAACCCATGATAATGGATTCCACATAAAACCTAAAAACTTGAGGAGCTTGCTTTCTGTTTTCTCCTCTAGCTTGTTTGGTCCAAATATTTGGAGCCTCTTCTCTCCTTCCTCGGATGAGAGACCCTCTTTTGTACATTTTAGCTGCTGAAAAACTTCATCAATTGGAATGTTTTCCTACACATGTAACAACAACTTATTGTCATTCATTATAAACAAACCAAATGATATATATATATTAAACAAAATCCAGAATACTATTTATTTATATTGCCTACAAGATCAACATTCTCGTTCTTCAAATCCTCAAATGAAATGTCTGAAGTCATGATGATGAAAGCAAATAAGCTATGAAGCTAAATTTATTTATTTAATTAATAATTTATTTATTAATTTTTCTATCTCTCCAAGTCTCTACCCACCCATACACAACAGGTAGAGAGAAGTGGAGAGAATAAAGAAAAAGAAGAGAAGAATATATAGAGATGATGAAGCAATGAAATTATATGCTACACAAAAGGTTGATAGAAACCGGAGACTATGGTTTCTTGCTATTACATGGTTTTGGAGTAATCATTGAGACCACGTGTATGATAATTCATGTTCCTCGGCCTTTGTTTTGCTTTGTGGCTTACCAAACTCCTCGGGAATTTTATGGGGTCTTTAATATTACATGCATGCAGCATGGTGTCTTGAAAATCAAGGTTGTATGAAAATAACTCAACCATCTACTTGTTCTATAATGAGTTAAAACTTAGTTAAATGCGACAATTTGTTTATTGTATCATTTAAATTGGATAACAATCAAATATTTTATAAAATTGTCTGTGTTCTTTTTTATTGGAAAATTTATTTTAAAAATTAGAACACGAACTCTAAATTATTTGACACAGACTTAGATAATGATAATAAATTTATATGATTGAGTTTGACTAAGTGGCAGACAAGGAACAGGTAATTTTAAGTGGATTGATAAGTGGTTTTTCTAGTTAATTTTGTTATTATCTTTAAGTGTTTTATTTTTCTTTCTCTGCATTTTATATTTTTGTTGTGTTTTTTAATGTTTTCAGGTTGAGAGGTATTCAAGAAGGATCAGAGCGAAAACTAAAAAAAATCGCGAGAATTCAAAAAAGTTGTCTGCACGTTTCAGGAGGTCTACTACGACCGCCTGTGTCAGCTGACACTACCGTAGTAGACAGAATAAATTCTTGGTGCAGCAATTTCAAAACAGAGAAGCAGAAGTGTGCTACGGGCGCCCGTGTCAACTGACATTGTCCGTGTCAGGAGGTCTGAGACCAAAAGCCAAAATGTGAAACTGCAGAAGTGTGCTACGGGCGCCAGCGTCAGCTGACATTGCCCGTGTCAGGAGGCCTGTGACCAAAAGCCAAAATGTGAAACTGTAGAAGAGGGCTATGAGTGCCCGTGGTGCCTGACACAATCCCTAGCGGCTTGTGACGCTGATTTCAATATTTTCTATTTTTTTGCCCAAGTGTTGGCCTACGAGGGTGTTTTGAATATTTTCAACCGGTCTCAGTGGACCGTGTCTATTTAAGCGAGTTTTTGAGAAGGAAAAAGGGTATTTTTGACAAACAAAGAATTATACAAGAAAATATTGGACAAGACAAGGGTTTCGGCAGGAAGGAGATTTTCATGAAAGGAAGTGATTGAAGATCATATTTCTCCCTAACACTTGTAATGTCTACAATATATCTTTTATTTTCTTTGAATACTATGAGTAGCTAAACCCCCCAATACTAGAGGGCGTCCCTGATTTGCATCTGTAATAATTTTGATTTTATAATTGCAATAATAATGTTTGTCTTCATAATTGATTTAATCTCTTAATATTTCTAGTGTCTTCTTTGTCGGACAAACATAATTTGATTTATGATTAGCAATTAGGCTGAACCGCCATTGTTAATACTTTTATGAGATTATGCTATAGTAGATATCACCTAGGACTAGGGATACCTTATAAAAATGCTTAATTTCATCGGTAAGTTTCTTTGGACTTAGGGCTTAGGATGAATGATTAAAGATTTCCTCTCTAAGGACTTAGGAGTAAACACTATTAAGAACCGGTAATTGATTATGTAAAATAAATTGTTGCAATATAGAATTCAGTGTTGTTACAGAGATAATTTACACACTTACCCTAGAATGACACTCATATTTGTTAAAACCACTTAGTCAATTTTCTTACTTTATTCATATTCATTATTGTATACTCGCAATTCAAACCAAAACGCTAGTTTTTGTTTGATTGAGCAACAATTAGAACTTCATATTTACAAGCATTCATTGAGATCGATATTCGGGAAACTTTCCTCATTATTACTACAGAGGCAAAATAATACACTTGCTATTTGACCGATCAAGTTTTTGGCGCCGTTGTCGTGGACTGCCAAAATAGTTTTAATTTTAGTTAAATTAAAATTTTGTTGCTCGTCAACTAAAATTTTGTTTCTGTTTTTTTTATTTGAATTTTATTTTATTATAAAAAAGAAGAAAAAAAGTTAGATTATTTTTGCTTCATGAATTCTTCTATACTTTGCTACTAATAAAGTGTCTGAGTTTTATAGTTATGTATTATTTTGATACATTGTCACTTGTATCTCCTACATGTTGGTCGCCTGATTCGGGATTCACTTTGGAAGAGGCGACTAAATTTTTTAAAGCATATAAGAGGAAGGTAAGATTCTTATGACTGAATGTAAGGAAGCTAACTTTAATCCAGATAAGTTTAGTTAAAGTTGGAAGAAGAAGATGTGAAACCAGAAGAAAAATGCATAACATCAGATGAAAAAATACAGTAAGAAAAGAAGAATTTGAGGTAAACAAGAAATACGGGGAAGAAGAAATAAGGTAACTTGAAGATGATCTAGTTTTGAATGAAACTACAAATTTAATAATTTGTGAAGATGTGGATATCCAACAAGAAAATCTTCAACAAAAGAATATCCCTAAAAACTATTTTCACAACAAGGTAGATGTGTCATACCCCAAATTTTCCCTATTGATTTATAATCAATTTATTCCTTATTGATATTAATTTCTAGTATTATCTTTTTCTTTATAATATATTATTGTCAAATTCATATATATATATATAGTATGGGGTTTAAGTTTATAGAAGGGGTATATTGTTTAAAAAATGGACCATTAAAATCTGATGGCCCATTAAGTTTTACTTTCAATTAGAAAGGGGGTGTATTTGTTATTGAGATTCCAGCCCATTAAAATTTTACTTTAATAAAAAAAAGAAGGAGGTACATTATTAAATAGAAAGGGGGTTTGTTTTCTGAAAATGAAGTCTTGGTACATTGGTCCACTTTGATGCAGGCCCATTGCAGGTTTTATACCAGTCCATTAAATTTGTTTTTTTATTTTTTTAAACAAGAGAGGGGTGTATTGGGCTTAGCTTGCTTAGTAGCTAAGCCCATTTGGGGTTATCTTTGTATGAGTTCAAAGGGGGGGGGGGGGGGGGGTGATTAGAATATGGCCGGCCCAATGGCTTCTAGGCCCATTTCAGTGATAAGAGAGGGTGTGATTGGGAAAACCAACAACTGAACAGATGTTGGCCCATTAAGTTTTTTTTTTGGACCGAGGATCATTTAAGTTTTTTGAACTAACTTGATTAATTAAGTTAATCAAGTTTTAAAATAATTAAACCGGTCAACCTAATATTGAATAAATTCAAAATTAGGGTTTCTTTTGTGAGACCCTTGTATCCCAGCGGCGGCCCAAGGAGCCCAAAAACAAGCACTGTAGATATTGAAAAGGAAAAAAATACTAGAAATAGAAAAGCAATTACTGTGTGAATCAAGCAAATTTGTATCAAATCTCAAAAACATATCAAATTTGTATATCATTACATAATGGAATCGTCCAAAATCAATTACATACAGAATCCTCTAAAAATTATACACAATGAAATCTACAAATCTAATCTAATTTCTAACAATCTCTGTCAATTACAATTTGTAACAGAAATCACAACAATATTTCCTAATTCATCTAAAATATAACCTATAAATAAAACCCTAAAACTAATTGAAAGGGGGAAGGAAATTTTTACGAAGACAGAACGACAGGAAGAAGAAAGAGCTGAGATATGGGTTTCGAAGTCCGAAAATCTAGATCTGTGTCGAATCCGCCGCCTTCAAAACCCTTCAGTCATCGCCACGCTTTCATCGCCATCATCGCCATCATCTTCGTCATTCTTCGTACCTGCAAAACCAAGAAGGAAGAGATCAGAGACAAGATTGAGGAAATCAGATCGAAGACAAAGGGTTCATGGAAAGAGTGGTAATTCGTTGAAATATGTAGCATATGGTTTTTTATTTGATATTATGATTATTATTGGGGTTCGAGAGTTTGATTTGGGGTTAAAGGGGTTGAGATCGCCGCTTCTAGGGTTCAGCGTTTAGGGTTTGGAGTGACAACGTTGTTTTGTTGTTAGAAGGAGAACATAGAGAGGCGAGAACAGAGAGAGAGGTATGAAATAAAGTGAAAAATGAAGAAAAACAAAATATATAATCTCGTCCGTAATCCCATGTGTTTCACATACGATACGCCTTCAATCATAATTGTATGATTATAATCAAGCATTCTCAAAGTTGCAACCTCACTGTAATGTTATGCACTTGCCTGCACATGAGCCAAACCGGTCGCTCATGTTTTGCCTTGGGCCTAAGCCCATTCTTATTTACACCCTACGTTTTTCTTTCTAAACCAGATGAAGTCCCCCCTCCATTGCGCTAATGGACACAGTTCAATATCTGAATTTGGGTCCTTGCTAAAACCAACACTCCAGTTTCACTACCACATTCAAGACTATACCCCCTTGCGTTTTGGGCCTAAATTCAATATCTGACTTTAGGGTCTTATTCTTCACACCCCATCCTTTTACTAACAAACTAAAAGTACACCCCCCTGCGTTTTATATTTAAAATTAATTTATTTTTCATTTATCCATTTATTTTTATTTATTTTTTCTATTTTTACTTTATTAATATATTTATAATAAATTCTAAATTTGTTTATTTTATTAATTCAAACTCTTTTTAAATATTAGTTCACTTAACTATTTTAATTTCATTAAAATTATTTGTCTCATGCATTAAAAAGAATTTTTCTCATATTAAATATTATATCCGAAAATATCTAACTGTAATACAGTGAGAAAATTGACTTTTTGGTTTTATCTAAAATATTGCGGTTAACAAGAGTCACCATCGACTTTTCTTTTATCCAACAAGGAAATGTAAAAAGAACAGGAAAGACCTTAATAGATTTTGAGTTCGGGGGGTAAGTTACGAAAAAGGAA